GTGATTCCTGCGGCTCAGGGAGCTTACATTCTAGTAGATAAACTTTGAAAAATATCTGGCATGATCATTTTCTTAACAAATTATTTCAAGCTTCCATTAATGATCTTTGGTCTCTTGGTGTGCTTACCGTATACCTGTTAACCTCTGCGCATGAATGTGTGCCCAGAGCCTACCTGTTCCACTAGTTCTCTTTTAGATCCTCACACAACTGATTTGTTTGCCTCAAAGCGTTGATTCCCACCTTGCTGGTCATTGGGCTCCAACAGAATTTTGAGTCCTTGGTCGAATTTTAAATGAAAGCAAAAGAGTTTTTAATTTTTATGTAATATACTAAACTTACTTTTCTAAAAACTTGGGGTGGAAATAGTTTACCCATTGCTTCTTTTGTAAAATTCTTTGCAATTATTATTTTGTTATAATTTTTGAGACTTTCTCAGATTTCAAACTACCAAGAAGTTAATACCCCTGATGAAGCGGAAGCAGACTTGAAGATCAAGTGTTTCTGCCTTTGGACACAGTTGTACCAGTTCAATTGAGCAATCAAAGGTTATCTCTCATTGATCAGAAAATGTTATTGGTAAATATACATATATTGATCAACAAAATGCTGAACAGGATACATTCACAAATATGTGTATGAATGTAAAAAGAATTTTCAAAACCCAAGGCCTAATGCTAGGTGAAGGCAAATATTCTTTGACGGCACAAATACTGGAAATCACTGATTTTAAAGGACTTTATTTGTAAAGGAAGACTCAGCATTAAGCAGCAATGGAGAAGTTATTGGTGGATTTTCAATCACAATCTCTAGAAGAAAGGGTGCAGATTTGAAACTGAGAGAAATCTTTAAGCTGTGTAACAATGTTTAAGTAAGAACTTGCCATATTCCACTTGTACTAATTCTGGGGGTTCTGACATTAAAAAAAAATGAGTAGCCATATTTTGGAAGCATGAATCAGAAAACAACACCCTAGCTCTTTCTAATGATACAAAAATTATCAGTGATTTAGAGCAGGAAAAAATAAAGATTAAGTAAGCAAGGTGCTATCCTCAGGTACAAACTGATGCCGAACAAGCAGCCCAGAAATAAAGAGAACTGACATTTTAATGAGCAATTTTTAAACAGCTGTGTCATCTATGGGTTCTTACACAAATATGATTTTTTTTTTGTCTGTCTGGTTTTTGAGCTTTCTCTTGCTTTTCATTCTCTCCATGTTGTGTTAATGGCTGTTTTGATAGCCCTGATTGAGGTGTACATAAAAGGTTATTTGCTGTAGAATGAAAGGCAGTAAGAAGAGTATTTGTGGAAGACAAGCTGAATTGCTACTTCTAGTGCTAGAATAATAGCTGCTGCATTCTGAAAGATGCTCCAGAGGTTGCAGCAGCTTGAACAGGTCAAGGCTCCTAATGATCTGCCTCTTGCCTACAGGTTCCTGGAGGCCATTGGACAGGAGGGCAGCACAGGTGTGCAGCAGCTGAGACAGGCCTATTGAATAGGAAAAGGGTCTTCTTTTGGAACAACTTGTGCTGTGTGTTCTGAACTGCCAGTTGCTGTAATTGGCCTTGTGCTTTCTTAACAGTGATTGGAAGCTGATGTCTAGCATTTTGCCTCGGTGTATTTTATAGATGGGGGAAGGGAGAGAGAGAGAGCACCAAGAATGGTCTCCGATTATTTTCTCTATTTCAGATGATTGCTGCAGATGTCTACTCAGAAGCTGTCATTCTCTTTTCTTTCTATTTGAGATCTAGCTCTCGTGAAAATTGTGAAATTGATGTATGGTTCCATGTTTCTAGATACTGTAGAGTGATTTATTGAGAGCTATTCAGTATATTTTGTTCTGCACTACACATTAAAGCAGTAGATTTGGTTGTGTGCTAAGCAGTAGTCTTTTGTTTGTATTTCTTTTTAGCAATATCTCCTTTCACTTGGAACTTCCTGTTTTAATGCTGATGAGATAGTTTTGCAAATAAGAGCAAAATCAAGCAATTCTGGATGTTGTCCTTGTCATCTCATTTTGTCAAAGCAACTACCCAAGAGTTCACGTGGATGGATCCTTTGCAAATGCTTGCAAGGAACTTGGTGAATTTGCCATGATGTCTGCAGGAAAGAGAGTGATCCGGCCATTTTAGGCTACCATTCTTAAGCAAAATTCTAATACTTGAGCATTTTAGATACAAAACCGTTAAGGGCAAGGATGAGGAAGTCAGTGTTGGGAAATAGGATGCAAAGGGAGAAGCTGCCAATAGGAAATAGAAGGCATCCAGAGAATCATGCCACCACGCTCTGAACAGTCCCAACACCTGCACATGTCACCTGCAGGAAGTCTCAGGAGAAAGCAGAGCACAGCATTATAGGATGGCCGGGATGCAGAAGTTTAGTCTAGTTTTTAGAATGAAACATAGCAACACAAACATCAACAAGGTGTCCCCATCAAAGAAACACCAGGGGACTTTCAACCCAAAATCTGATAGGAAGAAGGATAAGATTAGAATCCAGGTAAAATTAGGTCCTTATGGTAAAACCAAGTGTGGGGCAAAATAACTACACAAAGCCAGAATACAAGACTATCAAATTAGTGGACTCTGATTTCATGTATATGCTTATTGCAGAGAAGGGCGCAAAGCTACCTCTCTATTTTGCTTGTCAAGAGACTACACATGTAGTGTTAGGGTCTCACAGTTTATATTTATTGGGTAATTACTATGTACTGAGTTGAGTTCTAAGGAGCCCACACAAATTAGCTCACTTGTCTCTACTGATCAGTTCCATACTATTCCTCCTGCCTCCTTTAAAAGATGGGCAAACTTGTGCTCAGTGTCTAGATAAGCAACTTACACATGATCCTAGTGTTGAGATAGGGATGGGAACCCATGCAGTTTGGTTTTGGAGCTATATCCCTCACCACTGTCTTACGGAGTCCATATAAGCAAATCACTGAATTACCAATGCTGCAGTAATCAAACAGTAGAAGTCTGGGTGTAGGTTTACTCTTGAATATCAAGCATGTCTGGGGATATGCTCCTTTCCCCAAATCTCGATGCCAAGATACTCGCCGTGACCTGGGGATGTGATAAAGAAACTTCAATCAGGGAACCAAACTAGCAGGTGTTACAGTCTGGTCTTTCCAGAATATTTTAAAATTCACACTGTTTAACCCGTTCATTCTAAGTTGAGGAGTATGGTGGGGCTGCTGTTGCCTGAATTCCATTACGTTCTGGCAACTCTTGCTTCCTTTGATGCTCTTCAGGACCCTACATCATTCCCACGTGTGGCTATAGAGTATATCGTGTTAAAACTTCACCAAACCCTATATCCTGATTTCCCTTCGCATCTTGGGTCTGACTTACAGATTTCCTCTAAATGCATTATATCTGCAGATGTTTGAACACAATTCTCAGTGATTGAACAACACATGTTATTAACAAGGGAAGTAGTTAACGAATGTTCATTTTAAGCGTAAACACCTTAAATTACTCGCTTGAAGTATAAATGTGTATTTAACTTCAGCGGTTTTGTCTTCTTTCAGTGGAAGAGCCATTTTCTATTTTTCTTAACACTTTCACATGTCATATGGATCTTATTCTCCTCGGAATGTCTATGATGCTAACTCACTGAAAGCATTTAGCAATTAATTACTTACTACATGGCAGTATCTTTCCCACTGTTGTCTTGTACTGTCCCTGAACTCATTAATTGCTATTTAACTTTTCATGGATTTGTCTTGTCTTCCCAAATGGATTAGTAATTCCATAAGATGGGATTCTTACATCATTGATTTTTCCAGAGCCTCTTTGGCAATGCCCTGAACATATGGGTGAGTGTGTGTATATGTGTGTAGTCAGAACTCTACATTTTTATTTTTGTTTTTGAATACTGGTTATAAATAAAATATGGTGTGAAGCAAACAGAGAGAGAAAGAGAGAGAGAGAGAGAGAGAGAGAGAGAGAGAATCCATATGAATTTCTCAAGCAGGTGAGTTAAAATTTTCAGTGAGTTTACCCCATATCTTATCTTCCTACCTTACAGACCCTGGGCTCCTGTGCACCCTGACTAGCTAATCTTTGTGAGCTAATAAGATTTCTTGGGAATTCAGGGTTGATGTTCTAAACCACAGCCCTTGGACTATACAACATTTTCAGAGCCTCTAATTGATTTTAAAGGTGGAAAATATATTATTAGATGGAAAAACAAATTTTCTTTTATTAGGATTGTAGGCCTATCATTGAATATTTCAGTAAGATATAAAGGAAGAGGATTAGGAACCTTTGCATCAGCTTTAGGCTGAACCATCTTTAAGGAATAACATGAGGGGATCTCATGGATGCTATGGAATACATAAAATATGATTCACAGGGAGTTATGGGAAAAAGATTTCCCAGAATAATCTATGGGAAAGGTAGAAGGTTATCAGTTTTCTATTGACACAAGAGTCAATGGCATCTGTGAGGGGAAGGAAAAATTTTGATCCTACTGTTTATATTCATGATAATTAGTCATTGCTGAATCATAAATGCACACTAGACACTGTTGTGAGCACTTTTAATCTGTGCCATCTTCTCATCAATCATAAGTTCAGGTGACATTAGTGTCGCCATAATGATAGAACCAATACTGAAGAATTTTCTCAAGGAAACATAACTGAGAAGTAATGATCCCATATTTAGTTCAAGAGGTCTGGCTGAAGAGTGTGCTCAGGAAATACTTTCTGTGAAGTGACACGTAGCACTATTGTACCCTCTTCAAAGCCTGAACTTCCCTTAACTTTTGTACCAGTAAGCTCATCATAGATTGAAAATGCACCTAATAAGTTTAACCTATAGAACACTCAAGTTTAACAGCACAGCAAAAAATAAGTATTAGTTGTTGGCATTCATGATTCCGTGGGTGACTGGCAGCTGTGGCTCACTGTCTTTCTTCCGCATCAGCAGATCTCTACTCAAGGAAGAGTTCGAATTCAAAGTATGACTTCTACTGAAGGAATATTGATTGCATAACATCTGTGCTTGCTTTAGCAGCAGCGCATATACTAAAATTGGAATGATACAAAGAAGATTAGCATGGCCTCTGTGCAGGGATAACATGCAAATTTGTGATTTCATAACATCTTACAGCCAAAAATCATAACTCAACCATCATAAATTTAGAACCATTTCTACAAAAAAAGAATTGGTCCCGCAACTTGATTGGCTACCCTTTAATTTCCAGTCACTAGGACAAAACTCAGGTTTCTGAAAGTGTCTGGGTAACTCAAAAGATTTGGAGTCAGGAACATTAAATGTAAAGTTGATAGTTGAAGAATTAATGCAAATTGTGGGGTCCAGCATGATAGCCTAATGGCTTAATTGTTGCTTTGTTCTTCCGGGATCCCAAATAGATGCTGGTTAGTATCCAGGCTGCTCCACTTCCCATCCAGCTCCCTGCTTTGGGACTGGAAAAGTAGCAGAGAATGACCGAAAACTTTGGGACCCTGCTTCCACTTGGGAGATCTGGAGGAGGATCCTGACCTCAGACTGACTCAACTTCAGCCATTGTGGCCACTTGGGCAGTGAACCAAGAGATGGAAATTCTTTCTCTATTTCTCTCATTCTATCTGGAAATCTGCCTTTCAAATAAAAATGCATAAAAAATCAATAAATCTTTTTTTTAAAAAAATAGTCCTTTACAAGACAGCTTGCGATTTTAAGATTGTTTCTAATGATGACCATTCCAGCCATCCTCTCCCCTTGCTTGGGATTTGTCCAAATGCAATCTAATCTGTGTAGGTACCAAGACCTGGACACATTACATATTCATGAATTTACTAATGGAGATGGAAAACCAAATATGGCCCCAGGAGATCCAGAAGGCAATACCTCCACAACTTTTATAATCTCTTTAAATATGAGTCCTTGCACATCAAGGAACAGAAAAAGTACATCACTTAAAAGTGCACCTGTCACTTACATGCTTGGCAACATGTCACAGTGAGTGGTGAAATATTATTAATTCCCCTTGCCTTCAAAGAATAATTCATGCACTTATAAGTATAATCTGCATCACAATGAAATATTTGGATGTAAGCGTAGGTGTAATTAATACCAGAAAATCTCTGAAATAAGGAAAGCAAGGAAATTAATAGTTAAGTCAGCTTCAGACATAATCAGTGTGCCAAGAAATTTAGGGATGCACTACAACCTTGTGTAGTCTTGGTAATTATGAGGGTCAGTGGAGGGAGGAAATGTGTATGCTGACTGCAAAACCTTTAGATCTGTGGGTGAAGCCAGAGCTACTCACACTGGTTTGGCATTGCATTCATAACTGGGAGTCCTAAATTCAGTTCAATGCAACAGTTGTTTGCTGAGTCCTTATAAAACAGAAATTCAAATCTGGAGATAGGATGAAAAAACATAATAGTGCATGGGTGTTTCTTCTCCCTTACATGGTTGCAGTAGGTCTTGGCTATTAGTAGCTTACAGCTGATTTCTTCAGAGAATTTTCCTTGGCCAAACAGGAGCTACCTGACCATGAAAAATACGTCATGGTCTTCCCTCACGGGATGTCATAAAGGCTCACTCCAAGGTGGGGTCATCTCTCTGCTGCCATTGGTTTCACATGAAGTCAGACAGAACTTAGCTACTATTCCAGCTTCTCCCTTTGCCCTATCTTGTTTCCCCCATTCCCTCTTTCCAGAGCCTTCTCCTTCAATTAAATCAAAAACACCCAGACCTCCTCACCAGGTCTTGCCTCAAAGACCCCAAGCTAAAACAGAGTGCTAGCACTTAATGCATCTGTTCCCAGGGGGAAAGGCATTCCTAAGGAATTTACTGTGTCTTATCTCACTGAATCCTTACAGTAACTTACAGTAACTCTTTCACTGTTGTAAATGAAGTTCAGGAAGATTGAGTACTCCAAGTCCTTCCGTTAGTGAACCAGCTTCCCGAGACAGGTTTGTCAGTACAGAGGCCTCATTTTATCCTGCTGCCTTAACAGAGTGAGACATCTGACCCTACAAGCTCTCTATCCACAGGAGCTTACACTGGGACGGGCAGAGAAGGCAAATGAAAAACTCTTATCCGAAAGATACAAAGAACGTTATGAGTATTCAGAGGATGGAGAGTTCACATCCAGGCGATAAGCACGACTGTGTCTACAGATGTTATCACATGCAGACACAGAGAATTTTTTTTTTAAGTCTCTGGTGTATTTTATGTTTTTATGTTTAGTATTTGCTGAGAAATCAAATGAATAAGATCAAGGGAATATAACACATAGTGATTTCATATGAGCACCTGAATGGCCTGGGATATTTTGGCTCCTGATGATGGAGACATCAGGAACAAAATCTCAAACTTCTTGAGGTAGGCCTTTCTTTGCTGCTTCCTTCTCTGTAACTGACTGATTCGAAGTCATGAAACATGCCTCTGATGGACTTACCCCACATCTTATATCACTAACCTACGAGAGTAGAAGTACACATGTAGAAACTCATGGATTTGGGACATAATTTGAAACCAGATATGATAGATTTTCAAGGACATGAGGCCTGAGTTGAACTCCTTTCCCATTGTTTTCCAACCCCATGGAAACTGGCCCTCATGGAAAACAGACTGTGATTGCATTAATTTGCGATAGAGGTTGTTCTCCAACTAGAAAACAAGCTGCAGATATATGTAGGATGTTTCCCCCAGAGTACAATGTTCTGGATGATCTTCACCAAATAGGGCTCTTGCTCTGGAAACAATCAGTGAAGGATCAAATCCAAATACTTCTTTCAGCATCATCGTTTAGATTTTTATGCCAATAATTTGTGGTTTCTTTGAATTTTGTTCACTTTGGGAAATACATAGGTACATACACATTTAATCCTAAAGCCCATAGAATGACTTGTATGTTTTCTCATAACATCTATTAAAGCCAGATTTTAAAGATCAGAAAATTGTACTTACGTCAGTGTGATTTGGTGCTTGCAGGAAAGACATACAGTTTTCTCAGTGTTTTCTGCGGAATGAGCCTAACCATGCTGCTGTCACCTGCTTTCCCATGCCATCTTTAGAAGAAAATGAAAGCACACATTTGAAAGGCCCAGTTGACTAAATGGCAGTTGATATACTAGAAAATGTTATTTTCTGTTTATTCTTAATGTCTGAATTTTTACTAATCCAAATCCTGGGCTAAGTCAATCAGTTTTACCTTCATTTCTGTGGCATTTTCAACTTCCCCTCCTGGTAGAAAAAGATGTTCCTCTAGCTTTGCCTTGGTCTGACTTTATTAAATGCTTTCAACATTCGTTTCAAGAGTGGAGGACTCCACTGTGCTAATGTCTGAGGAACTGTCTTCTTTGAACTGTGGTCAGGGACCAGGAAGTCAAGTGCAAAAGGAGTGTTGTGAAAGTTTGCTAATCACATGGCAGGACTACTTTGGGGAGGGAGTAGTCAGTGTTTGAAAAAATAAAAGTGCCTGCTGCATGGGTCTGCATGGAAGCCTGCAAGAAATCTGTCCTTGGGGTCTTGTATTGGAATTTTTGTGTGTTCTAGGCACTAAAAACATTTAGAGGTTATGCAAACTCCCTGTGGCAAAAAGCATCTCAGCTGCAAGTAAGAACAACTATCTAAAAATTAAAAAAAAAAAATTGGGGTGTGTGTGCATTTTTGTAGAAAAGAAAAAGAAACAAACAAACAAACAAAAGCAAGAACACCAAAAAGGCTTAATGGGAAATACCTTGTTGAAAGTTTCTCACTATTATTTATATGTACTTAGGCTTAGTAAGATAAATCAGAAAATCTGCATTCATAGTACCCTGGGGATTCTACCTCCTCCTTTATTTATAGCTAGAGTAAAGAGCAGGTGTATTTAGGGCACCTGACTACTGCCCCAGGGTGCCATTCCTATGTGGCAACAGCCTGAGAGATTGAAAGGGAGCCTCATCCCTGTTTCACTCCAGTCCTCTTTTATCCACACACAGGAAGATGGGGTGTCCTGGCTCCTGGCCATGTTATTCATAAATCACCAAATGTATGAAATCAGATCTCCTTTTAGGGAACAGAATATTAAGAAATGAAGCAGGCAGCTTTGCATTTAGTATGGATGGATCCATCGGCCATACTTAAAGCCATGCTTTAAAAAGCAGGGCTCAATGTAAAAACCTACTATTTGGTAAAACAAACAAACAAACAAACCAGCCTATATTTAAAGACTTGGTCAAAACCAGATTAAGTACTCCATTTTCTAGCCAGCAGAGGGCAATCAAGTTAGCACAATCTTTTGTGTATGTGCTGTTGGGCTCTCAATTAATGCACGGTTATGAATAAATAAAACAAAGCATCAAGATAACCTAAATGCTGTAAAAACAAACCCTTTAATCAATATCCACTAAATGAAGGAAACACATTTGCTTTATATACTGTAGTCATTCACCAAGGAGCAAATACAGCCTAGCCTGTAACAGTTCGTTAATGAAGTCCCAGAAATGGAGGCAGCTTGCTACTACATCACTTTCAGCGGTGTGTGGCTGTCAAACAGAAGACAGGCATGCGACTTGCCATGTGTTTTTGTAACATTTATAGAATTTTCACGTTAAGAATACAAAAAGCTATACTGAGCTAAAATGAAAGGACTTCATACCAAATGTGACGGGACATAGCTCTTAATTCATTTCTCACACCTCCCTCTTCCTCCCTATTCAAGTTTCAAGGACTCGGCAATAAATAAATCAGTAGTGGAGGATTCTACTTCCCTGGCCCACCACTTAAGCAGCATAAATCAGATCTGCTCTTGATCAGAATCACCAGCAGGTTTGCAGCATTTGGGAACAAAAAGAGTGGCCCCATGGTCTGAGATGTTTTCATAGTCTGGAGACATAGAGACAATGAGCATCAAGTGCAGTTTTTTCATTTTGCATTTGGAAAATGTTCTTTAAACCCCCAATGCATGGCAGTCACTATACAGAAAGCTGGAGAAACAAGGGCAAGTCAGACATTAGGGTTCCTTTAGAGAGTCAAAATGGGTTCTTTTGTTGAAAAAGCAGTGTCCTAAAAGTACTAGAGACTGGAGGTTTACTGAAACTCCACTAAGACCTTTCATTGTAATAGCTGCCATTTATTGAGTGTTTATCATGTTCCAGACTTGTACTC